CTCGGGGTTTGTGAGTTCAAGCCCCGCGCTGGGCTCTGTGCTGACAGCTCAGAGCCTGGAGCCTGCTTCGGGTTCTGTGTCTCCCTCTCTCTCTCTCTGCCCCTTCCCCCCCACCTCTACCAATAAACATTTAAAAAATTTTTAAAAAAAATAGAAAACCAACTTCTAGCCTGATGACATAAGGGTCATCATTTCCTGGCTATTGGCTCCAGGTGTAATGCATCTATCTGATTTGCTGATTTAAAATGATGATGATGATGGTGGTGGTAGTGGTGGTAATAGGTTTGGGGTATCCCTCAACCCATTAGGGAGTAATGGATGGAAGCGAGGCACATGAGGACTGAGGGGGGCTTTTATCTCTGGCTTCCTAGCATGTTCCCTCTTCCCCCATCCCTCTTCTCCTGATACCAGACCCAGACAATTGACCACAAGGGTGGGCATGTTGGGAGTCCTTCCAGGACTGCTCATGGCCAGCTTTCCTAGCACATAAAGAGTCTCCAGAACAAAAGCCAACTGGACACCAGCAAATAGAGATTGGGGAGAGCAGCCCCACATCCTTCCATCCTGTAAGGTACCACGGTTACCCTTCCCTGCGCATGAGACAGTACATTCCTGTTCTGTTTAAACAAGCTTAAGCGGGATTTCTGTTCTTTGGAATCAATACAATACAATCTGCTTTAAACTCTCTCTCTAGCTGAGCTGTTCTTTTTGAAAGTTATTTGCACCAAAACAATTCAAGTTTGAGATTTGGGCGGGGGCTATTCCCATACCCTGGTTGTTGACTGAAAGGAGATACCAGGCCTAAATCCTACTGGCTTTGGTTGAGAAGTTGTGTGGATAACTAAAGAGCCTGCTGGGGATTCTCACTAGAGGGTGGGCCCTACCTTGGGCTGGCCACTTTGGATTTACCCTAGGTCTCTGTCAGGTACCAGCTGGGTCCTCTAACAGAGGTCTCTATACCACAAAGCCAGAGAGAAACTGAGGCCTGCAAATTCTGAAGGTGTTAGTATAGCCAGTCATTCTGGTTTGTCATGATCGATAAGGACCTGTCTTTTTGACAGCATTGGCTCAGCTGGTTCCTCTGTTATTTATTTATTTATTTATTTATTTATTTATTTATTTATTTAGTAAGTAAGTACTTCCCACCCAGTGCAGAGCCCAATGTGGTGCTTGAACTCACAACACTGAGATCAAGATCTGAACTGAGATCAAGAGTGGGACGCTTAACTCGCTGAGCCACCCAGGCACCCTGGTTCTTCTGCTTTTTTAAAGCATGTCCTAGAACAAGAGCTGAGCCCAAGGCACCACAGCTTGGAGGCTATGCTTAAACTATTTGCTATGGCAAGAAGGCATGCATCTAGGGGCACCTGGGTGGCTCAGTTGGTTAAGTGTCCAACTTCCGCCCAGGGCATGATCTCACGGTCTGTGGGTTCAAGCCCCCGCATTGGGCTCTGTGCTGACAGCTCAGAGCCTGGAGCCTGCTTCAGATTCTGTGTCTCCCTCTCTCTCTGCCCCCTCCCTGCTTGCACTCTGTCTCTCTCTTAAAAATAAATAAACATTTAAAAAATTAAAAAAGATGGCACGCATCCAGTTTATCTAAAAACTACACAGCATTATTCAGGAATTATTAACCGGTCTTCAGAACAGCCTTGCGTTCTACTTTTGAAAACAGTAATTTACTTGGTTTAAAGGCAACCTGCATTTGCTCTGCTTCCAGTAGAGATACTGTGCTAGAGGCTTTCGGGAATGTTGATAGCTCAGAATTGGCATTAGCCCATAGACAATTCCCGTCTACTAAATTAAAGCCTACTGAGAGATTGATGTGTTCAGCAGTCTCGAACTGAATTATTAGGCAAGGGTCTTGCTAAAGCTGAACATCATAAGGTTATGAAACTTATTTCTAAGGATGTGTAGGCCAACACAGCTCTGAGAAACCAATGCTTACTTACCCAGTTGCTCAAAAACAACCTCATCAGGGATCTGAGTACTCCAGTATAGTGCATGAAGTCCTTTTCAGAGGTCCTCTCAAAAACTACTGAATGGAGACTTTTACAAAAAAGTGTTTTCTTATCAGGTCAGACAGTTTATTGTTGGGTTTCAGTCTCTCACAAAGTCTGATTTTCAGACACCTCTTTATGCTTCTTTAAAATTTAACCACTTATTTCAAGGGCAGCTATGAGGCATAGTCCATAGGCCTCCCTCATTCAAAATCCATTTAATTGCAAAAGGTGACCACACTATTTCTTCATTGTGGTCCTCAGAATCCTCACTTTGTAAACAAAAACAACCATTTAAAACAACTCTTCTAGCTGATTTTTTTTTTAGTGTTTATTTTTGAGAGAGAGAGAGAGAGAGCAAGCAGGGGAGGGGAAGAGAGAGAGGGAGACACAGTCTGAAGCAGGCTCCAGGCTCTGAGCTGCCAGCACAGAGCACCATGCCTGGCTGGAACCCACAAGGGTGAGATCATGACCTAAGCCAAAGTCGGAGGCCCAACCGACTGAGCCATCCAGGCTGATTTTTTGTTTTAAAGGCAGGCAGGAAAGAAGGCATTTGTGCCTTTTTTTTTTTTTAAATCTAAGGATTTCCTTCCACATAAACTTGTATTGATGGATCTAGAAAAGGACTCGGTGGCTTCACATTCTGGCTTCACCTCTTGATAGCCGGTAAGAGATGGGGAGGGGAGAAAATCATCCCACGGGTCATGCAAGCATTTCAATCACTTTCTTGAAAACAGGAATCATTTAAGATTATACTGTATGGCTGTAATCGTATTTTTACAGCGTGTGTGAGATCTTGGTTAAGTCACATAACCTCTCTGAACCCCACATGTGTAAACGGAGACACAATAGAACGATAGAGATTCCCGTCACCCGTAAAACTCAAAGCTCTGGAGGAGTCACGTGGTAAGCACTCAACTTTGACATGGCCACTTGAAGATCCCGGAGGCCCGGAGATACAATTCCTACCTGGTTAACCACCAGCCGTCCCACCCTTCCCCAGCCTGGCAGAGAAGACCTTTTCTCTCCAGGGTCTTGAAAATGCTCGGTACCAGCCAGTAAGCAAGGACGCCTCGGGCCGGGGAAGCTACCGCGGCCCGAACGCCTGCGGCTTCCCCTTTGAAGCAAGCGTCCCCATCTCGCGCTCACACGCGCTCGGGGCACTGGTCCGCCTGCCTGACCCGCCGGGGTGCGTGCGCCGCGCTGGGTGGTGGCGGCCTCCACCCATCCCTGGGCCGCCGCCCCCGCCGCCTCCTCGGCGGGGCAGGTGCCGTGAGAAGCGCAGAGGGATATGACCGGAGACGACTTTCCAGGAGCCGCGCACGCGAGGCAAAGCTCCGCACGCAAGGGGGAGGCGACTGCAGAGGAAACTTTTCAACCCCATAAAGTTCGCAGGCGCGCGATCTGCCTCCCGCTCCTCCTCCCCCTTCTCCCTCCTCCCTCTCTCTGCTCCTCGCCCCCCTGTTCGCCCCGGCTTGGCTCAGCGGCGGCGTTAGGACTCCGCCAGCTGGGCCCCGAGCCTGGCAGTGGGCGGCGCCACCTGGGGTGGGGGTGGTGGCTTGCTGCGCGGGAAACCTCGCGGCCAGCTGCGTCCCGCCAGCGCTGGCCTTTGTGTGCTAAGGACGGTCGGGGCCCCGGGGCCGCAGCCCCGCGTCTTTCAGGGATTCTTGATCTCGCCGCCCGAGGTGGAAGGAGAACTTTGCATGCCAAAGGGCCTCATCCGAGGGGCCGATTTGTTTGCAAGAACGTTAAAATAAAATAACTAGGGAGGCTGTAAGGCAAGCCGCCACCACAACCCGGCTTTCCATGTTCCCAAGCTGACAGGTTCCCTCTCCCGGCCCGGGAGCCCGAGGATTCCGAGCGGGTTTGTCTCGAGAACCAAGCTCAGTCACCCAGAGGGGGGTGGGGGTGGGGGTGAAGGTCGTGCGCTCCGGGAGGGAGGCCTGCTCCCATGGAAAATGCCGCGCGACCGGCAGGTTCTCGGTGTCCCCAGCGCGCTTCCGGGAAACTGCACCTTCGATCGGGAGGGACTGATTAAGACTGGTTTTCTGGCGGACGGTAAATTCGTAAAGCCAAGGCCGTCGGGGAGCGCCGCGAGCGCCTCGCGTGACCTCCCGAGCGCGGCGACCCAGGACTTGGCCCATCCCGGCGCCCCGCCCCCCGTAAGCCCCGCCCCCCACCAGGTTCTACTCCGCTACACACAGACCTTAGCAGCCAGACAGGAGGGGTGGCGCGTTCGGATCCTCGGGCTTGACTGTGTGCAAACGGGCCACACCTCTGCGACCCCAGCTGTCAGGGACGAGCGGGGGGCGTGAAGGCTAGGAGTTGACTCCACTCGTCGACCCCAGTCTCAAGGGCGCATGCTGTGAGAAAACCCCAGCTCTGCCGAGGCCCCAGGTGTAGCAGGGCTGGGCAAAGGAGGCACCCTTCTCGGTCCTCATCCCAATCCCAGCGCCCCTGGCTCGGACGACACCTAGAGGCTCCAGAGTGGGTGTTCAAGCTCCCAGAGCAGCAGGTGTCCAGGCGAGGCCTCCGACTTCCTGGAGACGTCTTGCTCTCCACGAAGGCTCCAGCCCTATTTCGGACCCGGCCATCCCGCGCCGCTGGAAACCGCGCCACCTCGCAGGTCAGTCTACCCACGGAGCCGCCTTCCCCCGGCCTCAGGGGGAACTGAGAAGGGAACTGAGCGCCTCCGCCTTGATGCCCTTCGGGTTGTCCCCGAATTGCCGGAACCGCTACGAGGAAGGGGTTGGGGTGGGGACGGACAGTCCGGGTCACTGAGAGGACGCGCTCCTTCCCTTCTCCTTTGGGGAATGGGTTGGGATTCGGGAAAGGCGCGTCCTCTGCTGCTTCCCCAGTGAGCCCTCCCTGACCTGCCCCACGCCGGTCCTCCTCTCTTCCCAACAGCGCGAGGGAACCCGACGCCTAGAGGGTAGGGGCGTGGGGCGCCCGCTCCTTTCTCTACACACCTGAGTGTCACGCCTTGGCCCTTCTCTCTCCAGCATGGCCACCGGCCTCGGTCCCGACGCTCCCCTGCAGCCGAGCGCGCTGTCCACCCAGCAGACCACGCTCCTGCTGCTCCTGTCGGTGCTGGCCGCGGTGCACGTGGGCCAGTGGCTGCTGAGGCAGCGGCGGCGGCAGCCGGGGTCCGCGCCGCCCGGCCCCTTCGCCTGGCCGCTGATCGGAAACGCGGCGGCGATGGGCCCGGCGCCGCACCTCTCGTTCGCGCGCCTCGCGCGGCGCTACGGCGACGTCTTCCAGATCCGCCTGGGCAACTGCCCGGTGGTGGTGCTGAACGGCGAGCGCGCCATCCGCCAGGCGCTGGTGCAGCAGGGCGCCGCCTTCGCCGACCGGCCGCGCTTCGCCTCCTTTCGAGTGGTGTCGGGCGGCCGCAGCCTGGCTTTCGGCCAGTACTCCCAGAGATGGAAGACGCAGCGGCGCGCGGCGCAGAGCACCATGCGAGCCTTCTGCACGCGCCAGCCGCGCAGCCGGCGCGTCCTCGAGGGCCACGTGCTGGGCGAGGCGCGCGAGCTGGTGGAGCTGCTGGTGCGCGGCAGCGCGGGCGGCGCCTACGTCGACCCGCGGCCGCTGACCGTGGTGGCGGTGGCCAACGTCATGAGCGCCGTGTGCTTCGGCTGCCGCTACAGCCACGACGACGCGGAGTTCCGCGAGCTGCTCAGCCACAACGACAAATTTGGGCGCACGGTGGGCGCGGGCAGCTTGGTGGACGTGCTGCCCTGGCTGCAGCGCTTCCCCAACCCCGTGCGCACCGCCTTCCGCGAGTTCGAGCAGCTCAACCACAACTTCAGCAACTTCGTCCTCAACAAGTTCCTGAAGCACCGAGAAAGCCTGCAGCACGGGGCCGCCCCCCGCGACATGATGGACGCCTTCATCCTCTCCGCGGGGACGGCGGAGGCGGCGGAGGGCTCCGACGACGGCGGCGCGCGGCTGGACGTGGAGTACGTGCCGGCCACTGTCACCGACATCTTCGGCGCCAGCCAGGACACGCTCTCCACCGCGCTGCAGTGGCTGCTCATCCTTTTCACCAGGTAACACCTCCAGGAGGCGTGGGCCGGGCATTCCTTTCCTCCCCTGGAAAAGGCTAGAATGTGCTGAGGTCGCGACGGACGCCCAGGGTTTGGGCAGGGTTTGGGGTTTCGCGACAGGTCCCCGTCTCTCGAAGCAGAGATCGCGGCCGGAAAGCGCAGCTCGGGAAGGCAAGGTGCGGGCTGAGACCCCGCGCGCGGCCCGCATCTTTGATCTTGTCGCCCGCTGCCTCTCCAAGTGGGGACACATTCGTGAGAGCCCCGAAAGGCAGGATCTTTTAAGTGTCTGCAGATCAGCCCCGATCTCTGCCTCCCTGACACAGCAGAGGCAAAATTGGCACGCTTCCGAAAGAAAGGGTAACGGGCAAATATGTTCAATAAACACACGAGCCTGATGGGCTCGGCCTGTCACCGGCGCAGATCCGAGGCCGCCCAGCCCCGGCGCTGCAAGCCAGCCGCGCGTCCGGGCTTTGTTCCTGGGCAGAGGAAGTGCTCGGAGGCCGGCACCGCCAACCGTGAACCCGCACGGAAGCTTTAGGAAGGCGGCCAGAAACTAGCGGGTTGCGCTGGGTTAACGAAAACGCCGCGCTAGCAGTGTGAGAAGTGTCTGGGTAAAAAACCGGAGAAGCAGTCACTTTTACCGAGCGCAGAGCAGCGTCTCGAAAGGCAAACACGGTATCCAGGAGGCGCCCGCGGACGGACTTTTCTGGTCCCTGGGCCAGGCTTGGTTTGCGAGCCGGTCGGCAGTGCCCACGTTGATTAAGGTCGCCGACCTCTGGGAAGGAAGCCCTGCACGCAGGAAGCAAACAGGTTGCTGGCATGGGGTGTTGCCAGACGTAGAAACTAAAAATAAATTCCACATTGGACATACTTCTACTAAAAGATTAGCCATTGTTTATCTGAAATTTAGATTTAACAGAGCAGCCAGGTTTTGTGGGCATCTCTGCTCCAGGGGCAGATGTCTCACTAAAGGCAAATTTTGGTTGCCTTGAGAGAGCAGAAATCCTGGTTGTGGCATTTCTTGGTGTGCAAGGAAGTGGTGGTGGTGGGGGGGGGGTGTGCTGAATTTGTTGGTAACCCAGAAATTGGAAGGCAAGGAGCACTTCTTTTCTTATTAGAATCCTGCAACCTGTGTGTCCTTAGACTGTGCAACTGCTTTTATAAATTGAAGTTTTTGTATATTTAAAATTGCTTTTCAGCATTAAGGCCCCAGAAACACTATGAGCAATGAGCAAAAATCAAAAAGAAGTCCGTAACAGATCAGGAAGAAGACATCCCCAAATGAGAGCGATGGGTCGTTTGCACCCGCCATAAACATCTTTTGAAACTGCCTTTTTTTTTTTTTTTTCATTAGAGACTGAATTGGGCAGCAAAAGTAAATAAAACAATTTTGGAGTCACTTTCAGTTCAATGTAGCTGGTGAATACGTTTTTCTTCATTTTAGCGAAGACAGTAGGACAGGGGTTGGCAAATTACACTGCTCATTTTTGGATGTAAGTTTTTTATCAAGATACAACCATGCCCACTCATTTATGTATTGTCTGTGGCCGCCTTCATAGCGCAAGGCAGAGCTGGCTGGTTGTGACAGAGGGTTTGGTCTGCAAAGCCTGAAGTATTTACTATCTGGCCCTTTATGAAAAAGTTTCCAGACTCCTGAAGTATGCTATTCATGAAGCAGTTTTTTAAATCACCCATAATTTCATCCCATACATGCTTGAATTATTTTTCAGAGATGCAATAATTATTTACTTTATTTTTTAACTTCTGGCATTTTCACTTATTGAAATGGACATTTCCCCATCTTTTAAACTTTATTGTAGTGACTTTTGACGGTTATCTAATATTTTTTGCCGTAATAACACCATTATATATAATCGCTTCTTTTAACATTGTTGACTGCCTCTTGAAAATTTTGGCTGTTGTTGAAGTCAGATATGTTTGCACCTGTCGTTTCCTGCACATACATTTCTGGACGTGGATTACTGGGTTTAAAAAAGGAGTGGGGAGCAGTTAACTCCTATGCATCTTGCTTAGTGCTAAGATTTTGTTTTCCAAAACGACGGTACTATTTGTATTGCCGACAGTGAATAAGCATTACAGCTTGTACCATAATCTCTTGAACGCTGGGAATTTTCTTTTAAATTTAGACGATCTGTACCTTTATCTGTTGGGATACCAGTTTGTATGAAGTGAGGGCAGTGTGTCTGCTGGAATTAAAAGGAAGATGTGTGTGTTGGGCGGGGGAAGGACCCGTTTGGGGGGCTGCTTTTTTATTTTTATGGGTCCTGGATGGTTTTGCCCCTGTAGATTTATTACCCCATGAAAACTTTTTAATGATATTTTATTACTGTTTGTTTAAAGATAAATATATTAAAATTATATATTAAAATATTCTCTTTGACCTAAACGTTCTTTTTTTTTTTTTTTTTTTTTTTTTTGATTTTAAAAGAAAGGAAAACATTTCCATGGGCTCCTGAAAAGTATTGTGGGTCCTTGGCATGGTCTGCTGTGCCTCATGGAGAAGTTGGCCTTGTCTGGAGCTTTTTCAGGCTGAGAAAACTTAGACTTTTTTCGACTTACAGTAGGAAAGAGAGCATTAGCCATGTGAGGCTTATTATGGGAAACAGAGCTATTAATTCATCCATCCCGTAATTTAGTGAGAAATTAGGAAACCATTTTAGTTTTTGTGTGTTTGTTTGTCTGGAAATGTTAATTCAGCCACTGATTCAGACAAAGAAAGTGGAATTAAATGGTCATGTGCTTTGTAGATGAAAGAAGAATTACTTTTCCCCACTCATTTTCTCCTTCCGCATTAACCAAACAGGTATCCTGAAGTGCAGGCTCGGGTCCAGGCAGAACTGGATCAAGTCGTGGGTAGAGACCGCCTACCCTGCCTGCAAGACCAGCCCAACCTGCCCTACGTCGTGGCCTTTCTTTACGAAGCCATGCGCTTCTCCAGCTTTGTGCCCGTCACCATTCCTCATGCCACCGCCACCAGTGCCTCCGTCCTGGGCTACCACATTCCCAAGGACACAGTGGTTTTTGTTAACCAGTGGTCCGTGAATCATGACCCGGAGAAGTGGCCTAACCCAGAGGACTTTGATCCAGCCCGGTTCTTGGACAAGGACGGCTTCATCGACAAGGACCTGGCCAGCAGCGTGATGATTTTTTCAGTAGGCAAACGGCGGTGCATTGGGGAAGAGCTTTCCAAGATGCAGCTCTTTCTTTTCATTTCCATCCTGGCTCACGAGTGCAATTTCAAGGCCAATCCAGACGAACCCCCGAAAATGGATTTTGATTACGGTCTGACCATTAAACCCAAGTCATTTAAAATCAACGTCACTCTCAGAGAGTCCATGGAGCTCCTCGATAGTGCTGTCCAAAAGTTACAAGCTGAGGAGGACTGCCAGTGTGAGGCCAGAAGCAAGCTGGAATGTTAGAAGTACTCAGGTTTGGGGGGATAGGGAGTAGAATTTTCTAGCTCCTCTGTGTCACTTTCTCGGTTAGCCTCTAAAGTGAGCATAGACCAGCTGACCCCCAGATGATGAGCTTCACACATGTGTGCTCAGACGAGCACTGGGCTACGCAGGAGCTTCTAGAAGATTTTTTGAATCAAAGAATTAAAGGGTCCAAAGAATTTTTATGCATAAATCAAGGGCTGGTAACAATAATTTCTTGAGGGAGCATCCTTTGGATTTAAACTCACATAAGCATAGACACAAATGACCTGATGAAGAAGTGTTTCAGTAAAAATGCCCTTGTGGGTGAGATCCAAGATTGATGTTCTGTGTGCTGAGATCTGGTCCTTAGAAAATCACATTAAGCAAAGTTTCAAAATATATTGTTGAATACACAAAGGCAGATAATTTCAGTATAAGCCATGTGATTGAGGGTGATAAGGGAAAAGTAAAGACCAGAAATTCCTTTCTTCACCTTTTCAATAAAAAATAGTTTAGTTAAGCTCTAGCGTCTATGGATGGATTTATCTTTTTGCCTACCGATATGCTTTCTTTTTTGCAAAAGTCATAAACTCATTTGCTTACAGAGAAATTTAATAGTGGCTGATTTAGTGATTATAGTAAGTTTCAGTGATTTACGATGAATTTTAAAGTGTAAGTTGTTCAACTGTAAAAAATTCCAAGCCGAAGTCATACTTCTGTTGGTGGCCAAAGTACAGAATTTCAGTTATGAGCAAAACAAACAAAAAACCAACCAACAAACAAACAAATAAAAACAAAAAACAAATCAACAACAAAAGATTTACCAGCCCAGCTAAGCTTTAACTGATGTGATTATAATGCACTGATATCAGTCTGTCTCGTACTTTAAAAATAAAGTCACCAAATACTATTCAATACATATATAATTATTCAGAAGCAATATGTATGTTATTATATTATTAAATAGTATTATTTTTGTTAAGTAAAGTTTGAATAATGTTTGTCTTTCCAAAAGAAAGACCAATCAAAAAGTTCGATTCAACCAATTTTGGCTCAGATACAGGAAACAAGCCTGTTTCGACATCATGAAAACCAAGTTGAAGCAAAGTCTGTTCTCTGATCCACAACTTGAATGAGAACTGAATACTTTCAGGATTGGGTCTGTACGATGTGTTCCTTATTATTTTACAACATATTTTCTAAAATTATATCCTCAATCCAGAATCGCCTTGTGAAATTGACGTAGTGAATATGCCATAATTCTAAACTCTTGGCATGCTTCAAATTGAATTTAATCGTAAAGCCATTCTGATTGTTGAGTTCCAGTCGAAGTTACTGGAAATACGGCCATTATTAGCCTGTGCAAGGCAGAGAAATGTAACCAGTGTCTGCCTGATGAATAGTGAAAAATGCAGTGACTTATCTGGATGTTCTCTTTATTAGAGACCAAGGGAGAAACTTCCCATCATAACAGACCTAGTTTTTCTTTTAAATGATTTTTTTTTTTTTTTTTTTTGTAATAGCATTCATGTCTGTGTTTGGGAAGTCAGAATCCGAAGGTAGTCTTGGGAGGCTGTTTTGAAGATTCCATTATGTTCCCGTGGAGCTGATCAGATCAGGCGGGCTGTTCAGGATGGTCAACCCAGTGAGTGGTCACTTTGGAAACTGTGAAAACATAAAGCCTGAACGAAATGTATAGGTTCTGTTTATGTAAGGATCCTAAAAACGGAAAAAAAAAAAAAAAGTGCTGGAAGATCGGAGGAGTACAAAGTGAAGGTTAGAGCTTTAGCTTTCATTGCGTGTGGACTTCAGAGGAGACATGCAGTGTCCTGAAAGCTTGCTTTTCTTACATTGTATGAAGATCTTTGGAATCTTTTCATCAAAATTGTAAAGGAGGAAGGAAGGAGTGTTTGGCGGTTGTGTGGAGGGGTGGTAAGAAAAACGAGCGAGAAATGAAAAGGAAGAAAAATGGTTACGCATTTCCCCGCGCGTTCCACATTAATTAATCTGAGGCACGAAAGTTGAAATACGAACATTTAGAAATAAGATACTTTGTGGGCCAACGTTAAATCCCAAGTAGACTTTTAAGAAAAATCTACAACACAGAAGATCTGTTTTGTGATTTGGGATTATTTTGTTAACAAAAATTTCATGGAATCAAATCTCATAGTGCTGCCTCTTGAATATGGACAACTGTGCCAGTTATTTTTAAAGGCAACTAAATTCAACTGTAGAGGTCAGGCTTACCCAATGTGTTTCAGTTTTTTTTTTTTTTTGGTCACCAGCTATTCCAAAACGTCATCACCCCCCTTGCCCTAAGCAGGGCTGAGACCATGATTTTAGGTTGCCCTAGCCCGCTGACTCTGAGACGTATGGTAGCAAAAGCAATCGTGTGCCGATCTGGACGCCTCATTAAGTCAACCAAATACAGATGTGCTGTTATCTTGTTTTGTGTGTGTAGGCTCAGTTCATCCAACAATTTTGGCAAGGGAAAAGCCCAGCTTATATATGAAGAAATAAGGTGGGCTCTTGGAGGTTACCTGGCTTATTTAATACAGCCTAGTTGATTGTATATTTTATAACCTCGTTAAAGGAAGGAAAGCAAAACCAAAAATAAGCAAAAATAACCACACTTGGAGACTACAATAATGAGGCTACTGGCTTAATCAGAAAACCTTATTTTATTGCTCCCGGAGAAGGAATCTATTTGCTGGTCACTATTGTAGTCAGAATATCTGCTCCAGGTTATTGTAATAAAGTATATTGTTTATTAAATGCTTCCTTTATATATGAAGCTTTGACTTTGTAAGAAAATTGCTTTTTCTCCAAACAGAAAGATGTCTCAGGTTTGTCTTGTGGGTTATCGGAAAGCTTTTTTTTTTTTTTTTTTCCTGAAAGCTCTCATGTCTCAGAACTTAGCCTTCACCTGTGAAGTGTTATTATGGCTTTAACATTTCCTTATTAGATCTATATTAGATCAAATAGTTGCATAGCATTTATATTAATTTGTATGTTCTTAGCTATGATACACAGTGTGATACTTTAGTAGATGTTTATAACTCTATGATAGCTTTTTATTTAATCATTTCTTATTTTTCTACTTCATCACTTATGCTTTTAATATGTACAGAGCAACTATAACACATAGTTGTAAGTGAAATCCATTTTGGGGACACAGCATTCATATGTATCTTTTGCTGTTTGATATGCCCAATTAAAAGCATTCTGTACCTGTAACTGTCTATAACAGGACACCATTGTCCAATAATAAAAATCACTTTCATAATCTTGTTATGAAGTTTTACTTTATGTTGTAGCAAATATAGCCTAATGTATCCATTCCAACTACTACTTGTGTTTGAATTAAAGTGTTGCCTTGTGAACATTTTATCTGCCCATATTACGTAATAGGCTGCTTGCTTTTTTTTTTTTAATAGGCTTCCAGCGTTCAGTTTCCTACCAAATTCCTGATCTCTATGTTTCTGAATTTATGAGACCCAACACAGAAGTTAAAATTCAATTCAACAGCAAACACCTAGCAAAGTGGGAGTTAATTTTTAATTAAAAAAATTTTTTTTAACGTTTTATTTTATTTTTTGAGAGACAGAGAAAGCACGAGCAGGGGAGGGGCGGAGAGGGAGGGAGACACAGAGTCCAAACCAGGCTCCAGGCTCCCAAGCTGTCAGCACAGAGCCTGTCGCAGGGCTTGAACCCACAAATGCGAGATCAAGACCTGAGCCAAAGTCAACGCTCAACCGACCGGGACACCCAGGTGCCCCGAAGGGTTTTCTTTTTAATTCGGTTGATACACATTCATTCATTCATTTTGAAGGCACATGTGCCTTCACTAACAAATACATCTCAGGTCCAGTAAAAATAGGGTGGATGAGAGCATTGTGTCACATACCATGTGGAAATATTTTCTGCTGCCCTTTTTACCGGGTATAAGATGTGACGTCACAGGGCCTCTGCTGTGAACCCTCACAAGACGGCAGGGGGTGCAGTACCAAGGCCTCTTACTTCTCCCAGACCTAAGCTCCCATTACTGTGAACACAGGAAAAGAAATCGTGAAGCGAAACCACACACAATGTCATTGATACTTTGCTTTAACAGTATCGCTTCAGCAGCTGAAAGGTATACATTGGTTTAGGAGAAAACTCGCTTTCCAGATGTGCTAACACAGTATCTTCAAAATGGTCATAAAGGTTTAGGACAAATGAACTGAATTTTCCCCCAAGTGAAATCTTAACAAAATTGTAATTGGGGTCAGGTGTTTGCAAAAGTGTCCAGCAGACTTGAATTCTCTCCAGTCAATCCACTAAACTAAAAGACTGGAGTGCGGGGTGGGAAATGCATTTGGCTTTAGGCATAAGACAGGCCTGATGGTTGCAAACTCATAGAGGTTATTTCTATAGCCTTGAAGCCAGACCATTTTTTTTTTTTTTTTTTTTTTTTTTTTTTTTTTTTTTTTTTTTTTTTTTTTTTGCACAAGCACTACAGAAATTTGGCTGTTAACAATCTCTTACCTCACCTCAGTGACTCACATGCTCTCTGCTTTCCAGCTTTGACCTGCTAGTTATGATCCACAGAGAAGGGAAGGAAAAAAAAAAAAAGAACACATTCTGAAGCAATTATTTTTAATGGGGAAGATTGGAGAAAATGTAGTTTAAATAGATACGGGCAAGCTATCGGCAAACACCAGCTTATGTCTGCGGCTCCCAATACACTTACACAGGCTGTGTGGTCTTCAGGAACACTCCTCAACATGTGTCAGGTATGAGGGGAAGAAATGGAACTAGGACATGCCAAGCACGTACTATCTTCGAATCACCATGCTAAGCATTATCGCGCAATAGTTCTCTGCAAGAGGCAGTCATGTAACTTGTCAAAAGTATATCTTCAGGAATAGCAGGGTCTGGATGCCTCCCAGAGATGAACGGACTCCAAAGCCTGTTGTCTTCATGCTGTAAGATGTCACCTCCCTGTGTGGCTGTGCTTG